CTTTGATGTATAGACAAAATCAATCATTCACATGATCATGTTTTTATAGAATCACACAATAACTGAAAGATAAACAGAATGAACATTTGCTAAAGTAAATAATTCAGATTCATTTGATGATGTATGTTATGAATATGCTTTTAAGTAAGGATATATTAAATGAAAAGATAGGCAACCAAGATAGGACACGTGCTTACTACCAAAAAAGTTTCGTTTACATTGAACAAACAATATAGAGATATGTAATTAGTAACTTGTTGTTCATTGACAGAGTAAATTGGAATAACACTTTAAAATGAGAGAGTTCAATGATATTTACTCACCCATTATACATCATTCAATTCCTGATTATTTTTTTCAAAATCACTTAGATACAATGATATTATTGAAGTTGAATTAAGTAAATACTAATTATCAGAAGGGGGTTTTGTGAAGACTTTAATAATTTTATATAGTTGAGATCATGAATCAATTGATGCTAGACCACCATGGAAAACCTGGAAGCACAGGACGGCCATTTTGTTTTGGTTTGCGGCTTCTGAGCAGTGCGCATCCACGACCTCGCCTCACAAGATTCAAACCCAGGACATACCAGTCTCGCGCCAGAGCATTCAACCGATAGACCACTGGGCCGGCATCTCCACAAAACCCCTTCTGATATCACTTTATTCATTGAAATTCAGAATTATATGTTGTTACGTGACAAAATCTTTAAAACGTTTAGTATTAAAACAAAACATTTACATTTTGATAAGACTGAATAAGATATTATATCAATATTTATTTATGTAAATGGAATATACCCTATTGAGATATAAAATAAGAAAGATTGATTCAGTGAATAGTTCATTATTTTCGAGCGAATTCATTAAACGACCTATATACATGGCTCCATATGAGCGGGTAAACTGGTAAATGCACATAGAGTTGATCAGATGAGATCATTTATTCTCAAGATTATTGATGAACAATGATCGTCTAAAGAACACTTTTTTGTAAAATTACTGTTTAAAACGTTCTTTCTAGAAAATGGGAAATTCTCTTCTTAGGGGCGTTTATAACTCCATCACTCTTAAAATTGATCTTCATAGAGTTTTCGTTTTGACCGAGGTTATTAATCTTATAAGCAGTTTAGGTTTTATGTTCTTGTAAATAAATATTGAGGAAAGCCCATTTTCGATAAGTATTTCCTTCTAAAGGCTCAGTTCGCCATCTATGACCTTGAAACTACAAATTCTTCATATTGTTGGGTTTTGTTTTCGACTAATGAAGACGCAGATGTGGAAACTTGATAATTAACCATTCCACATGGGTTTCCTGCAGATAGAACTTCTTAGAGTTCCATCGGGCTTTCTTGTCATTTCCACACCACGAAAGTCAATATTTTGTCTGTTTTCAACTTCAAGTGTGAAATTTATTGCTGGGTGATGGTTATTAAATATCTTTAGATGACTCAAGTCACATTTTTGTTACAAATGATAAAAATGTCATTTATGTACCTTTCATACAAGTGGGGGTTTGAGATAGTCGTTTTAGTTTGGTTGTTTTCTATATGGCCATGAAGAGATTTGCTAGTAATGAACCAAGAGGGGATCCTATCGTCATGCCATCGATTTTCATATGAATCAGATTGCTGAATGTAATTTGTGCATTACAAGTGCATCGTAATAGTAGTCCCTTCATGTAAGCTTCTGGTACTTCGATATTCATCTCAATATTATTTATGTATTTGCGGATAAAAAATATGGTCTCTTTGTGTGTATACTGATTCAACATCAAAAAAGAGAATACATTCATCATTTTTATCCACTTCTTTTACATATTCAATGAATTCAGGACTATAGTGTAAGGGTTCTAGGAGATCTGCTAGTCACTTTGCTATACAGTAATAAGGAGATCCAGACATATTAAGAATTGGTTAGAGAGATAAGCAATATTTGTTTATTTTGGGCAAACCATATAATCGTAGTATTATTAATCCCATTGGATTTATGAGCCCACAGATATCTTCGTCAACTAATGATCATTTTTCATTCTCCTAATAGCTTCATTCAGTTACTTTCTATCATTTCAGTCTTGTTCTTCTCATCGATTGGTTTACAGAATTTAATGTTATCTAAAAATAAATTTATCATTTTCTCGATTTGGATCTTTCAGTCTAACAGTACTAAACCTGAACCTTTTATCTCGCCGTATAATATTGATTCTACGTAGCTCTAGTTTGTTTCTATGCTCTTTCGTTAGAAGGATTTTACCCATCAATTTTGTGTTAATATATTGATTGCAGCTATCAAGGAGAGTAGATTAAAAATATTGAAATTCGTGATCAGTGACTGGACTAAAACAATTTGTCTGTTTGATTAAATCTTCAAATTAAACATATGCGTGAATTTTATTACTTTTTTTCATTAATGTCACAGAATTTCGTACTCTTACAGTAGTACATTGATTAAAGATACTAAAGAATGATTAAAGATATATGTCTCAGGATTGATCAGAAATTTATGTTGTTTTCCGGTGGTTTATTTTAAACTTTTTGTAAGATCCTATATTAGTTTGTTCTTTGTATGTTTGTCAATAACTATGGTAACATATTCGATGAAAAAACAGTGTTCTTTAAGTGATAATTCAATATAACACAGATTTTTGCGAAAAGTTTCATTCTAATAATGAGATGAATGAACGAACGAAACAGACAAAATTTTGTATATGGCGATTAAGAATTGGTTTTTCAAGCCCTTAACAATAAAACTATTAGTTCCCTTGATAAAAATAATATTTCGATGCCACTATTTATTCTACATCAACAGATTTTTACAATCACTATGGTGAGACTATTATTTATGGACGAAACAATCAGAAGGGCTTGAGGAATTCGAAGTTCACAGAACCAATTTCCGTACCTCATGCTCATGAGCAGTCGGTTCATAGAGGATTTTTGAGAAGACGTGAAAATTAAGTTGTTACAATAAACGGGACTAACAAAACGTTCCTTTATTTGCAAATGCGGGAATCAAATGACTTGTGGACCTTGTGTAGACTACCATAATGTTGGGCTTCGATGTAATATATGTTGGAGAAAGAAGTCTGCTAGAATGGGAAATTTTTTCTCTCTATCCAGATTAAGACTAAGGAAAGTTATAATAATTACCGCGAACTATATAATAAAAGCATCAGTAACATTGAATGCAATATTCGCAGATGTTACTGAAACTCCGACTGTTTAGTGGTATGAGCATTGTAGGGATTTATGCCTAACAAAAATTACAAGCTCACACAACCGGATTACACAAAAACAATATTGAAGCTATATAACCGAGGCTGAGAGAGGTTTTGCGACCTTATCGTAGCTCCAGACACCGACTATTATGAAGCATTATGGATAAGTTCCTCTACCGTATGTATTACGACTTTAGAACCTTTGAACCCCTTTCTAACCTTGACAAGTTTTTGGACCATATAAAAGGAGTGTATTCACTTTAATTCTTTGGTTTTGTATAATTTATTTTTACTCCATACTGACTGTTTACTGATTTGGCAATATTTCTCAAGATCACTTAAGATTTGATCAAATGTCATCCATAAATAATAATGTCGCCGATTCATCTAAAAGTGGACTCTTCACTGAATCAATCTTTCTTATTTTATGTTTCAATATTTATTTGACTACGTTGAATCGTGGATCTCTGTGCGTGACTTTATTCTTAATCAATCTATAATTTGAGATTTTAACTATAACTGTTTAATCTGATATTTTTCAGAACACAATTTGAGATTTGGAATTTGGAATTTTATCAGTGAATAACTCATGGTTACACTTGATTTATGATCTTCCCTCTTTCGGTTATTTACATTTCGTTGCAGTGTAGAAAAATAGACTTGACACAATAGATAGTATAGTATGTTATTATGTGTTTAAAGTGATATACTTTATTTATTTATTTAAACACATATATATTGGTACAAAAGGGCACCAGGTACATATGCGCCACACAATCATTTCATGCATTTGTGTGTGGGCTGTGATACTGCCCGGGTGCCCAAACCGAAGCAGGTGGTTTTCTTAGGGGACCACACCCCGAGCCTTTGACCTAAAGGTCTGACCCACAAGGCAGTGGAGCATCGTGAGGAGATGCAGTCCCATGGTAGCCGTTGACCAATGACAGGTTCTTCCGCCATTCGTTCCATCAGGATACTGGAGCCCATGTGCACCATTGGTTTGGAATCAGGGTTTTCCAACTCCCCTAGGTGGACCCTCCGTGTCCACCAATCCGGTTATAGCGCCGGACATTCGCTTTTCGTCCTCTCACTTTCGTAATTAACACCCCCGCCACGAGTGATATACTACTGTGGTGTGGTCTACTTATATCAATATGAGTGGTATGGTCAGACATAGAATGTATTTTGGCAGTAGACCGATAAGGAAAGAACAGAAATGAAGCGCAACTGGTAGGAAAATGCATGAACAATGGAATTAGAGAAGATGAACTGATATTTATAGAAGAAACAGTGAAGATTGAGACAATTGATGGTTATTTTGCAAATTAACTGTTTGTCGTATGGTTATCGGAATTTAGCGAGATAGTCTGTAATTTGTGTCTAAATACATTCGATTGTCCCAAACCGGTGTTTTGTTCACTACACTACGAGCTAAGTCTTTTCATAATCGCATTCTTTTTATGTTTACTTAAAGGTTAGTCATTATATATTTGTAAGCAAAGATAGATATTAGCTACTAGTGGAATTCAGGAAGCGCGTTTCGTCCTGTCTGGGACTCATTAGCAGGATGTACCTGTTGATGTTCACTCTGACCAATTGCAGTCCTAAATCACAGTGATAAGATACAAGTAAACAACACCAATAGACATTATATATTTGGTCTTCAATAGAAAAGCGACAATATGATATCATAGAACAAGTATAATGTAAGATATAAATTTAATGTTTAATGTACCTCTCAAGTAAAATTATTAAATATCAGATATTCCAAATGAACTCACCAACAGAAACGTAATATTCTCGACCTTTATTTTGTTTCCTTGTTGTCGTAGAATCGATTACTGTTGTATGTATTTTATGTTTATTCTTCACAGACTGTGGTTGATATTCTTGATAATGTTCTAAATCTGATTCATGATTTCCAATTGAATGACTGTTACTTATACCTGAACCAGTAGTACATGAATATACACCTGTATCATTTAATTGAGCATTTGATATGATAAGATTCCAACGATTTGGGGGTTTATGTTGTATTTCAAATCGTTCATCTGGTATAAAACGATTTTTTCCAATGGTTAATGGATAATCTAATCCTAGTTTATTCCATAATACCTATAAATTAATAAATAAATTTTGAATGACAGTGAGCAAGAGTATAAACCAGTAATAGAATAAAAGTAAATTGATATTTATTAACAGTATAATTATTTTCTGGTTAGCGTTTTGGATGAACACGGTGGATCAGATGCAGATGTTAGAGCTAGAATCGACAAAGTAAGAGCAGCATATTTACAACTGAAGAACATCTGCAACTCCAAACAATTGTCAACCAACACTAAGATCAAAATTTTCAATACAAATGTCAAGACAGTTTTACTGTATGGGGCGGAAACTTGGATAACTACGAAAGCCATTATCCAGAAGATACAAGTGTTTATTAACAGTTGTCCACGCAAGATACTTAGGATCCGTTGGCAAGTCACTATCAGCAACAAGTTACTGTGTGAGAGAACAAACCAGATTCCAACCAGCGGTGGAAGAAATCAGGAAGAAGAGCTGGAAGTGGATAGGACACACATTGAGGAAATCAACCAACTGCGTCACAAGGCAAGTTATCAATTGGAATCCTCAAGACCAAAGGAGGAGAGGAAGATCAAAGAACACTATGCGTTGAGAAATAGAGACAGACATGAGAAGAATGAACAAAAGTTGGATAGAACTAGAAAGGAAGGCCCAGGACAGAGTGGGTTGGAGAATGCTGGTGGGCGGCATATGCTCCATTGAGAGTAACAGGCGTAATTAAGCAAGTAAGTTATTATCAGTATGAGGTTATCAAGATTATTAAGTTTTTGATTAAGATCATAAATCGATTGATGTTAGACCACCATTGAAAACGTTGAAGCACTGGAAAACCGTTTCGTCTTATTGCGGGACTATTTAGCAAAGCGCATCCACGATCCCGCTTACGAGATTCGAACCAAGGGCATTTGATCTTAAAATATTGTCATCTTTCGAGCTAGACTAACAGATAAGAGATAGAAGAATGTTTCCTGATTAACATAAAACGTCATTTGAAGACTTAAAATCCATCTTCCTTTATTTGTAATTTCATGAAATTTTATCTAAGAAAATCTAGAATAAAACCTCATTTTTGATTAAATCCTGGATTTATTCTTCCAATTTTGTGAAATTTGAACACATATAATACTGAGTAGTTATAGTGAAATGACGATTGATATGGAGATTATTTAAGAAAGGTAAGGAGGTCGATTTGTTTTTAACTACAATGATACTGTGGAGTTATTCTGTATAATAGAGAAGCATTTCAATTTATATCGTTTAATAAGTATATTTCCTGGAAGCAACATTAACTCTGAGATGCAGGTACATTCAACTAACGATTCTCAAATAGAACAAAACGCTCATTCTGGAATCAACTGCTAGCCACTATCCATTTTTGATTATAAATCTTGTGAATTAAGGCAATATCGAGGCAGTCCTTACAGGATGCACATATGCCAACAAGACATAAATCAATTATAGACCTCAACAACGATGAGAAGATTTAAACAAACAATACCAAGTGAATGTAACACGGATTAATATTTTAAAACCATTTTATTACTGGAGTTCATTGATAGGATACAAAATTTTTTGTTTAAATAATAATAATATTTTGAGGAAATCTAATAAAATAATGATGCACAAACATTATCGATACAAGTACATTAAAAACGATTATTTTTGTAGGTGAAAAATTCCACTAAAACACTTAACTGTTTTTCTTTTCAAAGGAAAGATGAATAATGGATAGCAAGGGAAACCAGGGCGTGCATTTCATTCCATTTTGGAAGATGTATGTAAAGAACATCATGTGAATTTATAATTTACACTATTGCACAAGCAAGTAGTTATCAGGATTCAGAAGCTAAGTGAATAACGCGATGACGTTTGAAGCGAACGGTACTAAGTTCGAGTCTCAGAGTGAACATCAACTCTGAGATGCAGGTACATCCAGCTGACAAGTCCCGAATAGGACGAAACACGCGTCCTGGATTTTGTAGTACCGTAGCAGTACATTCGGAAGTCATGAGGCCGATGCACCTTCTTACAACCAGAGCGACAATTTTTATAGGTACATGGAATGTCCGGACAATGTGGGAGACTGGCAGAGTCTTCCAAATTTCTGCGGAAATGAGGAAATACAACCTGGAAGTGCTTGGAATCAGTGAAACACATTGGACACCGGTTGGACAACAACGACTGTCTTCAGGGGAACTTCTGTTATACTCCGGTCATGAAAAAGAAAATGCCCCACATACACAAGGAGTGGCACTGATGCTGTCTAGAAAAGCACAAAATGCACTTATAGGATGGGAATCTCATGGACCGAGGATCATCAAAGCCTCCTTCAGAACAAAGAGAGAGGGCATTACAATGAACATCATCCAATGCTATGCGCCGACCAACGACTACGATGAAGACGCTAAAGACCAATTCTACGATAGGCTGCAGTCAATCTTCGAGAAGTGCCCGACCAAGGACCTGACCATTCTAATGGGAGATTTCAATGCCAAGGTTGGAAAGGACAACACTGGATACGAAGACGTCATGGGACAACATGGACTGGGAGAAAGGAACGAAAACGGTGAGAGATTTGCAAACCTATGTGCCTTCAATAAACTGGTCATAGGTGGCACCATATTCCCACACAAAAACATACACAAAGCCACTTGGATTTCACCGGATCACACTACACAAAATCAAATCGACCATGTCTGCATCAACAAAAAGTTCAGGAGGACGATGGAGGATGTGAGAACCAGAAGAGGAGCTGATATAGCATCCGATCACCATTTGCTGGTCGCCAAGATCAAACTAAAACTCAAGAAGCACTGGACAATGGCGCGGACAACATCACAAAAGTTTAACACGGCCTTTCTTCGAGATGCTGACAAACTCAACGAATTTAACATAACCCTCAGCAACAGGTTCGAGGCCTTTCATGACCTACTCAATGGAGAGGGAACCACCATAGAGAGCAGCTGGAAAGGTATCAAGGAGGCAATCGTTTCAACATGTCAGGAGGTTCTGGGCCAAAAGAAGCACCATCACAAGGAATGGATCACTGTTGGTACACTGGATAAAATTGAAGCAAGCAGGAACAAGAAGGCAGCAATCAATATCAGCCGAACAAGAGCGGAAAAAGCCAAGGCACAAGCCGAATACACAGAGGCAAACAAGCAAGTGAAGAGGAGCATCAGGACCGACAAACGTAAATATGTGGAAGATTTAGCGATGACAGCGGAAAAGGCTGCAAGAGAGGGAAACATGAGACAACTGTATGATACAACAAAGAAACTTGCTGGAAATTACCGTCAACCAGAAAGACCAGTGAAAAACAAGGAAGGCAAAGTAATCAACGATATTGAAGAACAACGAAACAGGTGGGTAGAACACTTCAAGGAACTCTTGAATCGACCAGCTCCACTGAACCCACCCAACATCGAAGCAGCACCCACAGACCTCCCAATCGATATTGGCCCACCAACAATTGAAGAGATCAGCATGGCCATTAGACAAATCAAGAGCGGCAAAGCAGCAGGACCAGACAACATCCCGGCAGAGGCACTGAAAGCAAATGTAGCAGCAACTGCCAAGATACTCCACATCCTCTTCAGTAAGATTTGGGACGAAGAACAAGTACCAACAGACTGGAAAAAAGAACTTCTGATCAAGATACCAAAGAAAGGTGATCTGAGCAAATGCGACAACTACAGGGGCATCACTCTTCTCTCAATACCAGGAAAAGTCTTCAACAGAGTATTGTTAAACAGGATGAAGGATTCCGTGGACGCCCAACTTCGAGATCAACAAGCTGGATTTCGTAAGGATAGATCGTGCACAGATCAAATCGCAACTCTGCGGATCATTGTGGAACAATCAATCGAATGGAATTCATCACTCTACATCAACTTCATCGACTACGAGAAGGCATTTGATAGCGTGGACAGGACGACACTATGGAAGCTTCTTCGACACTACGGCGTGCCTGAGAAGATAGTCAATATCATACGGAACTCCTATAATGGACTAAACTGCCAAATCGTCCACGGAGGACAACTCACCGACTCGTTCGAGGTAAAGACCGGTGTTAGGCAAGGTTGCCTACTCTCACCCTTTCTCTTTCTCCTGGTGATCGACTGGATTATGAAGACGTCAACATCTGGAGGAATGCACGGGATACAGTGGACAGGCAGGATGCAGCTTGACGATTTAGACTTCGCGGATGATCTGGCTCTTCTATCACAAACGCAACAACAAATGCAGGAGAAAACGACCAGTGTAGCAGCAGCCTCAGCAGCAGTAGGTCTCAATATAAACAAAGGGAAAAGCAAGACTCTCCGATACAACACAATATGCACCAATCAAATTACACTTGATGGAGAAGCTTTGGAGGATGTGGAAACCTTTACATATCTGGGCAGCATCATTGATGAACACGGTGGATCCGATGCAGATGTGAGGGCGCGGATCGGCAAAGCAAGAGCAGCATATTTACAACTGAAGAACATCTGGAGCTCAAAACAATTGTCAACCAACACTAAGATCAAAATTTTCAATACAAATGTCAAGACAGTTCCTCTGTATGGGGCAGAGACGTGGAGAACTACGAAAGCCATTATCCAGAAGATACAAGTGTTTATTAACAGCTGTGTACGCAAGATACTTCGGATCCGATGGCCAGACACTATCAGCAACAAGTTACTGTGGGAGACAACAAACCAGATTCCAGCGGAGGAAGAAATCAGGAAGAAGCGCTGGAAGTGGATTGGGCACACTTTGAGGAAATCACCCAATTGTGTCACAAGACAAGCCCTCACATGGAATCCTGAAGGTCGAAGGAGAAGAGGAAGACCAAAGAACACATTACGCCGAGAAATAGAGACAGACATGAGAAGAATGAACAAGAACTGGAAAGAACTAGAAAAGAAGGCCCAGGACAGAGTGGGTTGGAGAGAGCTGGTCGGCGGCCTATGCTCCATTGGGAGTAACAGGCGAAAGTAAGTAGTAAGTAAGTAACTATAAACTGGTAAGTAAAATAAGAATCCATTTATAATGCAATCTTTTCTAGCCTCCTATAGACATATATTTTCCATATTACTATATATACGAATGTACAGCTTAAGTAAATGATTTCGTCGAAAAGAAAATTTTCTTCGCTGAATTCTCTTTTTCTTATTCAATGACATTATGAGTTATTTTAGTTAAATAAATGGTTCATTGATTTAAAGGATACTGAATGTCTATTACATTGAAATGAAACTAGGTTTTTCACTTCCCCAATTTATGTGAATTTTGAATTCAAAAAAAAAAAACATAAAATAGGAACTTTTAAATACATCATAAAATCTTAGAATTCCATTAGTTACCAAGGGGGTGGGGTGGGGTGGGGTGGGGTGAGGAAATAATGTTCACATTTCCAGCTTCCTAATAAGAAAGAATAAAAATGTTAAAAATCTGAAATCTGATCATTAAGCTTTTTTTAATGATCATAAATTAACTTGAAATAATTTCAACCATCTTGTTCACTATTACTTTCTGATGATTAAGCTTTATGATTCAACATTATGTTGTAGTGCTGTACTTCGTTAATCGATCACCTTGATAACCGTTATAGGATCAATCTTAACGGTGCATAAAATCAGAAGGTAAAAAGAATCAGTAACTACAGTTTTTTTGTTAAATGAAACAGGCCAGAAAGTTACAAACACAGCGAGCAGTGAGCAGTTAGCTCAAGCAATTACATAAGCAATTTATAGTCAAATTGAATAAGGGCACAACGAAAAATAACAACAAAAGTTGATAATAGGATTTGTGTGCATACATATATGGGGCCGGATTATGAGTCAACGAATAATACTTAAGCAATCAACATTTTGTCTAGTGTTATGTTCTCTAATTGTCATAACAGTACAAAGAAATATGTAAATTATCAGAAAGGGGATTTTGTGGAGATTTTAGTATATTTATATAGTTGAAAACATGAGTTAATTGAAGCCAGACCACCATGGAAAACCTGCAGATATTAACTCGCCAAAGACATTGGTGAATGGTTGCTCAATTTTGTGGATTGATTGAAGATAGACATTGACACACTTGGATGCTGGCTCCGTGGTCTGTCGGTTAAGTGCTCGCGCGTGGGACTGATAGGTCTTGGGTTCGAATCTCGCGAGGTCGGATAGTTGATGCGCACTGGCGAGGAGTCCCACAACAAGACCAAACGGACATCCAGTGTTTCTAGGTTTTCCATGGTGGTCTAGCTTCAATCAACTCATGATCTCAACTATATAAAATATGCAAATTGTTATTATCCAAATGATAACGTCTCTTAAGTAAGTTAATAAAAAAGCTTAATCAATGTTGACCATACTCGAAATCGGTAGTAGAATAGTTGCTATAACGTAATCATAAATGAATATAGATATTATCGCCAATTATTATTGTTGTTGTAATAATAAACCCTGAGAAATTTTTCACTGTAGCAAATCTAACTAATGCCTTTCTATCTCACAGCCAGATTTTATCTTTTACATCACTGAATCAGGATTCAGTAGTAAACAAGCCTAGTTTCATCTAATTCACTAAGCTATATGACCATTATACATTGTTTTCAATTTATACGTTTCTCATACGTTTTTTTGATGTAGTTTTGTTCTCTGAGCTGGATGGTTTGGTCGTGGAGCTTTCATCGTCCTTCTGAACGACATCATAATCGCAAACTTCGGGTAGAAGTGAAGTGTTTGAATTTCCCCACATGTGGTTCACAGCTTGTCCTGTACACCTCGATGTTAATTGGTTCTTGTTGACCTTAAATTTATCATTGTTTATTTTTTTGTTATAGTTGTATCTCCCAGTGGTTTGATTTCTGTTCCTATGTTTTTCCTGATTGATTTATAAATTGGATTGATTTCAATATGCTTGTTTATTGCTGATTGACCTGAGTGCCAAGCTTCTAAATATTCTTTGGTATTTTTGGAATTGCCTCTATCCAAAAATTTTTACATTTTTTCAGTCGAATGTATTTCCGCAGTTGTCCACGTGTATTGATATAAGTAAAGACATGCCATGTCATGTTTCTCATACTTAACATGAATGGTCCAACTTAGATTGATTCATGATTTCAATAAAGTTCAATACACTTCACAATTTCAACAATGACGATAACTATTATCTCTAATGATGTAAGTAGAATCATGTTTTCACTTTATTTCTCCATATATATTACACAGAATGGTTATCTAAGACAAAGATACTTATAATGTTTTCATTGTTTTATAAATAGCATTCTGAATAGTGGAATTTTTTGTTTATTTCATACATTACAGATGTATATTATTAATATTAGACCTTAAGTTTGACCTATTTATCTAATTTCAAAAATGTCAAATTCACAATATGCATAAATAATGTTGTTCATTCTAACTGAAGTTTGTGTTTTTTATGTTGTTTAGAAGAACAATGAAAACTCCACAACCAAACTATCCACCTCATACAATATGTGGCGGAAATATGGAGAACTATGAATGTCATAATTCAGAAAATACAAGTGTTTATTAACAGTTGTCGACGCAAAATACTTCGGATCCGTTGACCAGATACTATCAGCAACAACATACTGTGGGAGAGAACAAACCAGATTCCAGTGGCGGAAGAAATCAGGAAGAAGCACTGGAAGTGAATAGGACACACATTAAGGAAATCACCCAACTTCGTCACAAGACAAGCCCCCGCATGGAATTCTTAAGGTAGAATGAAAAGAGGAAGACCAAAGAACACATTATGCAGAGAAATGGAGACAGACATGGGTTGGAGAGGGGTGGTGGGCGACCTATTCTCCATTAAGGGTAATAGGCGTAAGGTAGTAAGTTAGTTCGATCTCAGGATGAACACAATGTAATTATGTTTCGTGCGTTTATTTGAATACATGACAGTACTGTAGTGAAAACAAAATTTGAGGTCTGATATTTACATGTTTAGAAAAAACTCACACTAAGATGAATAACACATCATTTGGTTACATCTTATCCGCTTTATGATTATATAACTTAACAGTTAAATTTCATTATTGATTACAATAAAAGGAATAAGTAACTAATGTCATTACTATGAGAGTTACATTATGTCTGTTTTATAGATCCTGAATAATACTACGTCATACGATGGTCATTATAACCAAATACCTAAGGTTATTTATCCTTGGCAATCGTTTACCAGTATAAACTAAATCCATTTACAGAATATTGTTGTAGTGGTCCTAGTAACAATGTGATTTACCATTTATCAAATATTACAGTCTTTACAATAGATTCACATTGACCTTGTACTGTACAACTAATTCTTTAGAATCTTATTACCTAGAATACAAGCCTAAACAAAACTTGATTTGAATTGATCTTCCTAATACAAAATAATAGTTTATATTTGTTCTTTTTAAAAAATGGATCATCTTTATCTGTGTAAGATGTCATAAACACTTCCTATATTGGAGGTTATTTATGTGCTTATATCATCTATATTTTTGTCCTCATACATATTCCATAAACCTTGGTATTGATGTAGTTTTCTGGCTAACTTAACGATTAATGAGACTGGTTAGCGTTTTTTTAGCGAGTTAGCTTTTCTACGGGATGGGGTCGCTAACCCCATGCCCAACCCTCCTCCTTTACCCGGGCTTGGGACCGGTAGTAACTCTAGAAGAGCTACAGGCGGAGTTGATTAATGAGAGCGTGAATGTAAAATGTGGATAACATTCAAATCGATGATTTTACTTGGTTTCTGTCCTAAATTCAGCTAAGATGAATCACAGCTTTATTGCTTGTTAAATCAGTTGATGATTTCATCGTTTCGACATATTACAACAGCTTTTTCATTACAAATATGTGAATGTAATGTATATAATTTTTGCATTTGAATAAGTAATCTTGACTGTAACTCTTCTAGGGTTGGTGCTGGTTCCAAGCCCGTGTATAGAAAGAGGGTTGAACATGGGTTCAGCAATTTCATCCCATAGATAACAACTTTGCTAAAAAACAACACTAACCAGAATCTTGACCGAATACTATAGCAATCCATAAGACACGTGTTTTAACCAATATAAAAGAAATCTCATATCACAATCAAAATAAGTTTAATTTATTGTTTTCTTCACATAGTGTTTTACTGTTTTCCAATTTGATTTGAGAATTCTGTAGTGAATAAGAACACGAGTGGGGACAATCGAATGTATTTGACAAGAAAATTACAGAGTATCTGACTAAAATCTGACAACCATACAGTAAAGAGTTAATTTGCAAAATGACAATCAATTGTCTCAATGTTGACTGTTCCTTTTGCAAACATCAGTCCATCTTCTCAGAATATTATTGTTCATGCGTTTTCGTACAAATTGAGTTCTGTTCTCGTCCTTTCCTCATCAATCTTCTAGTGAAATACATTCTACGCCTGACCATCACTATATACTACTTATGTCGATATAAGTAACTCACACCACAATACAATCAGTACATAACTAGACTAAATTGTCAACTCAAATCCAAAAACAAGAGAAAAATAATAATAAAACTTACAAAAATAACCAGTCAGAAATGAGACAACCACAACGAATTGATTCAAAGTTTATAGAATAACTAAAAGCCTTATCTCTGTATAAAGTGTTGATAATGTTTTCCTGAAGAACAATGAAAGCTTGAAATTTGAACCATCTAGATTGCAGAAAATAACATTGTAATGACTTCAATCGCTTGAAGTAATACATTAATTTCGATAGTTGAGATCATGAGTCAATTAAAATTATACAACTATGGAAAACCTGGAAGCACTAGATGACTGTTTCGTCCTATTGTAGGACTCCTCACCAGTGCATATCCATGATCACGCCTCGTGAGATTCGGACTCAGGACCTATGAGTCTCGTGCGAGAGCGCTTAACCTCTAGACCACTTAGCCGGTAAACATCTAACGTTGTTAATGTCTAACTTCAACCGATCCACTGTCATAATTGTCACACTACTTAAAATTTCTTTTTTTCTTTCAATACTTAGTATCTATTTAAAAATCGTATTCAGCAAAAAACACCAATTCATCTATTCTAATTAAATATCTGTCAAAAATTTTATTAGTTTAAAATAACCATGTCACATATTGAACATTGACTTAAGAATAAATTTAAACATCAGCTTATCCCATTAAAAGAAAAGGAATCATCTTATCATCATTATTAATTAGAAAACAGAATCTATCACCATAGAAAATCAAATCATACACACACACACAAACAAAAACAAAAAAAAGAAATTTCTAACATGGATACAATAATAATAAAAGATTATAATTCATACTGAATCAATATAAATGAATAGCAAATTTTTTTCAGAGTTTTCTCGTTTGTTTGTTTGTTTTTTATTTTATTTTTTTTCTGATGATGTTAATCACTTTTCATTTCTTGCACACACACACACACACGTACACACACACACCTATACAACAGACACATTTATATATATGATATGATAATGAATGACAGTTTGATGATATTTTAATGTATATAATAAGAAATTAGGATAAAAATCGGATTCGAGATGAAGAGGATAAGTAAGTCAGTAAGTGAAGTATGAATAGGAAAACGTAAGGAACAATAAGAACAAGACAATGGGTACCTTTTATTACGTTAAATGTATTGTCAGAAATATATAATGTTTAATAGTTCTTTCCTTATTTTTTTTTGCGTGGATACATTAGTTCTAGTCTTCATTCTGTCTGTATTATTCGCTTCCTGTGTTCATAAACTTATATTCCTTTATTCTGAAATAAAACTCTTTTATCAATATACAATATATTAGAAGATCTATTAATTAAACTCTATGGATTTATATAGAGAACATACAGACCAATAAATGAACATAGTAACATTTCAATAAAACTATACATTTGACCGAATCAATAAGAAACAAAAAGTATAGATAAAAAATCTAAATAAAATAAAAACTAACGAGTAATAGTTAAAAACCAACATCACATTTATAAGCAAAGATGGATATTGCCTAACAGTGAAAACAAGGATGCGCGTTTCTTCCTATTTAGGACTCATCAGATGGATGTATCTGCAACTTAGAGTTGATATTCACTCTGAGACTTGAATACAGTATCGTCCGCTTCAAACACCATCAAGTTATCCACTTAGTTACTGAGTTCTGATAGCCACCTTCTTGTGCAATGAGGTGAAGTTTAAATTCAAATGATGTTGCAGGTACATCCAGCTGATGAGTACCAAATAGGACGAAACGAGCATACTGGATACCACTGGTAGCCAACATCTATCTTTGCTTATAAAGCTTGCGATTTCAGGCAATATCGAGGTAGTCCTCACAGGATGCACATATGCCAACAAGAGTCTGATCAATTACAGTCCTAAATAACTAAAAGGAAGATTCAAGTAAACAACACCAAGTGAATTTCAAAATCACATTTTCTTAAAATTGACAGTTGAATTTATTAAAAAACTTTTTTTTAATACGGATTTTGTTTTCTTTTTTGTACTTAATTTAGGTGTGTTTATGTTTTTGATTCTTGACAGAGGAAAACAAACAAACATAAAACCCTTTACTTTTATTTTCCTTCCAAAATGAAAAAAAAAGATTTGGAATAATCTGATTAAGAAAAACAAAAAAACACTAAACACAATGTATTTGTGTATTTTTAAAAAATTTTTTTCTAGAATACCCGATACCCAGATACAATTTGTGTTCATGTTAGTGACAATAATAAATAATTTAATAAATTTAGAGGGGGGTGGAGTTATGTGAAAAGATTTTTTTTCGTTTGGTAACAATATTTCAACTTTCATTCTGTTAACTTCTGATTTATGTTATAAAAAAATTTCGATTATATGCTTACTGTTTTATTAATGTTTACTGTTCTTAATTAGAAATTTATTGGATGTAACCAAGCTAGAGTTCCCATCAAGCGATTACATTGGAGAAATGCCAATCTCTACCTCCCCTCCCTTCCCCCTTATAATAAGATACAGTGTATTTAAACAAGTTCAAAATTTTCACTATGATGATAAATGTGTTAGTGTATTTTACAACTTCTAAGCTATTCTATTCACATCTAATTCAAACTTTTGTACATTTATATGTACAATCACACATTATACATGTAAACTGACACCAATCTGTTGTTTTACAATTACATGTCAATCAATTCAAAGATGATTAGTAACTACATATTGGATAAGTTCGTAAGCTGAAAAAGACAATTATTAAAAAAATATTTCTCCAAGAAAGCAGGTATTGAAAAATGAAAAAAGCCGATGAATAGTTTGACATAGTTGAACTCATGGGTCAGTGGAAGTTAGACCACCAGAGAAAACCTGAAAGCACTGGATAGCCGTTTCGTCCTGTCGTAGGACTCCTTGGCAGTGCGCATCCACGATCCCACCTCGTGAGATTCCGATTCAAGACCTATCGGTCTCGCGCTCGAGCACTTAACCGACAGAACACTGAGCCGGCCAGCATTCAACGGTGTTAATGTCTAACTTCAACAAATCCACAATAAAACGAAACGGCCTTCCAGTGCTTCCAGGTCTCCCATGGTGGTCTAGCTTCATTTGGTTCATGATTTCAACAATATAAAATTGTTAAAATCTCCACAAAACCCCCTTCTGAATAGTTTAACAGTTAAATAATGCAAGAATTGCTAGGATAAATAGTAATAAAAATAATTAACTGACATCACTTACAAGATATGGACCTTTAGGTATTCGACATTTCAAATGTATTGTATCACCAGTATTGTAACGCATAAATTTAATGCTTGAATTTGTCATAATTTTATGCTTGTTTTGTAGTTTCAAAAGGTTTTTATTCACTTTTTCATTTCTATGTTCAGTGTTATCTGTGGTTATCTGATTGATTTGAGCTTCTAAATGTGTACCAGTGTTATTGTTATTATTATCCTTATTGTTATTATTACTATTATTAGCTTCAATAGACTGTGAACTTAGATCTGTAGGTATTACTGTTGATATATTGTGAACTTGTATGATTGTGTTATTCATAAATAAAACATTTTTGGAGTCATTTACATCTGTAAGGGAAAGAAAACAACAATACTGTGTTTCAAATGATCCAGTAACATCATTGTGAATGATAACTAAGTTATATGAGTAAATTAAAATGTTTCCATAATAATCATTCTAAGTCCTAATGTAGTGAATGACACTTGGTGGTTATAAGCAATTTATTGTTTAGCACAAAATATGAAAAATGTTGTCCTGTATATGCTTCATGATTTTTTTAATTCTGTTTCCCTTTCTGTTCTCTTCAATTGAAACTTATCAATCTTTTACTGAAGTTCATTCTACTTCTGAATGGTGTTACATATTACTTATATCTGTCAACATATGTAGAGTACACCACACTAATATGAACATGATATTAATGAATGAGAATATGTTTAATTCAAAAGAAAAATTGAATTTCGTTTTGATGTTTCTCAAGAAATACTATGATTTTTATTATAGATCTAGGCTTGTCTATCTAATTCAGGGAAATGGGTGCAATAAAAATTAAAGGGTAGTACTTGCCTGAATATCTGATTCTGTGGATTAACTTTATCAAAACTGACCCAAGTTAGATAACTATTTTAAACCAGGAATGGATAGCTAGTTGGAATAAGACATATAGATCATTAAATATAAGCTAAACGGCTTTCTTGCTAAGATACGTAAAGTTCCTATGTTCGATCATGGGTAAGGACTTAAATACAAAATAATGAAGAGTTGTACATAAGCATGAAACAGCAATCCTATGATTTCATATTTATAATGGTTGTCTAACTTGGTTCACTTTGCGATCAACACAATAATCAACGCGCATCAGTTAGTCGTACGCCATGAACTGGCCCATGCGATAGTGGTCTTACTTTGGCTTGTATCTACTTTGACTAATATGCTTCTGTAATAACGTCATTTGTGTTATACAGTCTTCAGATCATCTATAATGCCTTGATATGTCGATGGGGCAATCCAAGTAAGGCGCTGATCACGAGGTGTGACTTCGACGTCAGTCGGTCCATCACACTATTTCCATCTAACTCTAGTAGGCCTTCAATCATTCGATATAGATCATCATCGTTGATGATCTACAGTAGAATTACCAAGTTTTAATTTGATAATTTTGAATAAATTGAGCTTTGGATAGATTATTATACATGAAAACATTATATTTGTATTATCCCATTGAGTAGAAAAGTTAAATTTTCTGACGTTTCGTAACTTATTATAAGCCACTTCTTCAGAGAACTCTGATATATTACAAATATATTATTTCTTTATATAGTTGAAAATTACATTTTCATCATTTTCAACCTAATTATTGATATTAAACGATGTTTCTTTTCTATAGTTGATTAGAATAAGAGTACAAAGTTTACAGTTCTTCTCTCGTAAAGTACTAAAAAAAGTAACAAACTATAATACAAAATTATCATTTCATTGATCTATGGGAAGTTCTGTTATAATAAATCGTACATAAGAAAAATTCATTTTAGGGGAGAAAGATGAAGAAACATTCTAAATCATATTGATTACTAGTTTCATATGTGTTAGGGAAAGAAGAAGAAGAAGAAGAAGAAGAAAAGGGAGAAGAACGGCAACATCACCAATAGGCTAGTTATTCATTCCATATATACAATTATAACTGTAATGAAAATGAATAAGATCCATTTATATAATAAGACTTAGGATTATTATAGAGAAACAATTAATGTATGTATAATAAATTCTTTACTAGGTATATAGAATTGGATGGGTTAATGCACAATACAAAAATGTTCTTACATACATAGGGTTTACTAAATAGTTTAGAAAATCATTTGATTTAGTATAAACTAGTTAATTAGTATAATAAAATGTAACACTATCCATCTCTGCTTACCATGCTTGTGAATTAAGGCTATATTGAGGCAATACGCACAGTATGCACAAATGCCAATTAGAGACTGACCAGTTGCAGTCTTAACAAATCGATGGGAAGATTCAAACAAACAATACTGAATGAATTTAAATTATAACACTGTTACACAGACATTCCGTTTTATTTGGAAGTATTACTACTTTTTTTACCGGAATAGTTAAGTTGTTGAATAATTTGGACGAATATAGTGTGTTTAACATTTACATGCGAAGTGTATAAACCTGAATAGGTTAAGTAAATTAGTATAAACTATGCACTAATCAAATCAACTTCAATGAACTTAAGTCTTAAAATGAGTAAACTCTTACTGTACCTCATTGATTTGTATATACCTTATTCTTCTCCTATGTTTTTATTAAAAACTATCATTGAATAATCTCTTTTAAGTATAATGTACATCTCGAACGAACTACTTTGCCATTGTCGTCAGGTCATAATTTCTTAAGTAAAATTAAAAAGTGGCTAGAATTGCACTCTACGGCATGCGTTAAGTGGTATTTGAGGACAATCAGATTCTTAAAAATAGAATTTTAAAAACACATCACCACTGCGCAAGTTAGTTATCATACGGACTTAATAGCTTAGTAGATAACACACACGGCGGTTTAAATGGAGGGTATTGAGTTGCAAAGTTAGTATGAATATTGAAAATTAGACGCAACTGATCTAATTGAGGAGTACCAAATGGAATGAAAAGTGTCCCATAGATTTCATCTCTAAGCACTATTTAACTATAATTTAATGGGAAATAATTTCAAATTTATAAAAGTATGAAATAACTCAAAAACTACAAATTTATTGTTGATGGACGAAAAAAGTTCTCAATATGGTGATAAGGCAAAACATGAATATTGTCAGTATATGATTGAGGAGAATTTCATAGAAATTAATGAAATGAGGTTTAGCATCCATGTTAGAGATTGGAAGTCTTCGGGTTATGTTACTCTCATACGGAGTCATAGATTCACACTGCTGATGAGTACCATACTGAAACGACAAGACCATTCAATCCTCTTAGCTTTTCATTAATGGCTTAACTTGAATTGTTATTAGAAGGGGTTTTGTAGATATTATAGTAATTTTGATAGTTGAGATCATAAATCAATTGAAGTTAGACCATCATGGAAAACCCGGGAGCACTAGACGGCCGTTTCGTCCTATTATGGGACTCCTCAACAATACGCATCCACGATTATTTTAGTAAAATAACTTACATAAAAACAGTCTTTGGCATTAAAACAAAAGTGAGTGATTATTTAGATACCACATTGATAAAGTTGATAATCAATTTAATTATGTACTTTACTTTCGTTTTCAGGTATAATACTTTGAAACATGATTAAAAAAGGCAGTATAATAATCTCGAAGGACTATGATGTATGTTCGGTATAACCTCAACAATTCAAACCACAGTAACTGTAAGGGTAATGAAAGTGTGCGGAGTTTAATATAACTTCATTCAATGAAATACAAATTTATGTGTTAAAACATTCTAATTGTTCACGAGGACCTGCCAGTGATAGTGCTAGTTTAATAGCTTAAGGTTAGACTTTTAGTGAAAGCTTTAAACGTTTTAAGATATTCATTATAAAATTCCTGTAAAGCTAATTTTCCCCAATGTTTCGTTAAGTAACATACTTATCGACATTGATATATATCAATCATCTTTATATATAGCTATAATATTGACCATAAAAAGTAAAACTTACAACTTTAAGAGCCAGGTAATTGGTCGTGCTTCACAAATAATATAAGTTACTGTTTTGATTGGCTCCTCCTTTCTAATGAATACTGAAAACTTGTAGAATAAATTCAAATACTATTGACACTCATATGTTTTATTTACGTCAGAGGTACTAACTAATTAGGATTACTTTAAACGTACAACTTCATTCTTCAAAATCTCATTCCTAAATCATTGAATCATTGCATGTCAGTATGTTCATAGTATTTCTGACTTTCCATACGTAATAAGTAGATTTAAAACTATGATTTTCTGAAACAAATTACCTTTGTTTTACACTACATATTATTTCTTAAAAGTGGTAAACATTGAAATAAAGAAAAAATCACAAAATAATTGCTTAATCTGAACATAAAAATAGTGGTATAAAGAGGCACCGAAAACATATTCGCCACACAAGTAGCTTGATTTGTATTTGGTCTGTGATACTGCACGGGTGCCCGAACCGGAACAGGTGGTCTTCTTAAGGGGCCACACCATAAGCCTTCTACTTAAAGGTTTGATCCACAAGTCAGTAGAGCAATGTCAGGAGATGCAGTCCCATGATAGCCGGTGATCAATAGTTGGTTCATATGCCGTTTGATCCCTCGGGATACTGGAGCCCATGTGAACCATTTGTTTAGAATCAGGGTTTTCCATCTCCCCTACATCGACCTTTTGTGCCCAATGACCTGGTTGAAGCGTAGGATATTCGCTTTTCGTCCCCTCAATTTTGTAAACAACAGCCCTACTGCGAGAAGACAGTGAGTAGGACATCCCTAGCAGTGGCTGTATACGTATGGCCATTTGAGAGCATTTCGAGAGGAATAGCTTACACTTCCCACTCTCGACCATATCAATGCATTTGCGAACTTATAATTATACAGCATAAAATACTTTCAATTTTCATTTACTAAATAATTGTTGAATCCTAAATTAGAGTTTACATAAAAACAAGTCTGAAAACATTTAGTTATTCAGTGACTAAACAGAGTGAATATTTATGAGCAAAAATTGATAGTGGCTAACAGTGGAATTCAGGAAGCGCGTTTCGTCCTATTTGAGATCCGTCAGTTCGATGTACCTGCATCTCAGAGTTGATGTTCACTCTGGAACTTGAATACAGTACAGTTCGCTTCAAAGGCCATCACGTTATCCACTTACCTACTGAGTATTGATAGCCACCTGCCTGTGCAACAATAAATGAATTTAAACTTCATCTCATTGCACAAACAAGTGGCTATCAGGACTCGGTAGCTGAGTATATAACGCGATGGCGTTTGAAGCGAAATGTACTTGGTTCGAGTCTCAGAGTGAACATCGACTCTGAGATGTAGGTACATCCAGCTGAAGAGTCCCGAATAGGACAAAATGCGCGTCAAACTGGATTCGATTCCTAGCCACTATCCATCGTTGCTTATAAAGCTTGTGATTTCAGGTAATATCGAGGCAGTTCGCTTAGGACGCACATAGGCTAATAAGAGACTGATCAATTTCAGTCCAATTTAACAACGGAAAGATACTAGCAAAACAACAACAAGTGATGAGTGAATATTTGATTAAGTTATTTTCTTTCAATCAATTCATGTAAGATTCATATAATACTAATGAACTACGTTTTTTCCAAATGATATTTGTATGCATCTTATGTTTGTTTTTATCTTTCCATTTATTTCTATGTACATTTACACTTCATTTAATGTTCGTACTTTCATTCTAAAAAAAACCAAACTGCTTGGAATGTAGGTTAATCGATTCTATTGAATATAGTGATATATTAGTTATCTGATATGATGCAATTTGTAGACAGAAGAGTCGATTTTTTCCATAGTAAGCAAATGAACAAGAGGAATATGAATAACTAATATTCAAATCTAAACAAGATCAAAGGTGAACGGTCGCTCAGATTTCGTAGATTGGTTGACGCTCAACATTAACACCGTTGGATGCCGGCTGGCTCAGTGGTCTAGTGGTTACGTGCATCGGCGCGAGACTGGTAGGTCCTGTGTTTGAATCTCGCAAGGCTGGATCGTAGGTGCTTACTACTGAGGAGTCTCAAAATGGGACGAAACGGCCATCTAGTGCTTACAGGTTTTCCAAGGTTGTCTAGCTTCAAATGACTCATGATTTCAACTATGAAGAAGATCAAAGTAGTTAAAATGGCCAAGAAATTGAAAACTAAGGTATAATAACAACTTAACAAGGTATTCAGCTAAATAATGAATACATATATGTTCTTGTTACCGACTATGTGTCATATCATAAAACAACCATAATCATTAATATTGACTATTAAAAATTCAACAATTAGGTGGTCCACATCTACTACTTGAACGTTACAAATCAGCAACTCTAAGAATTGATACTATATTGGAAGAGGCCACCATTAGAAATAAATATAAGGCATTACGTTCCCACTATTGATTTGTTGTTTTAATCTTAGACGGCTAAACACTAGGAGATACTTGTGATGAAATACTTATAGTTTAGTCATGTATAATTTTCTAGATAATATTATATATTTATAGAGTAGTAAATGGTGAACTGCTCTGCATAAAGCGTGTATTTTAATCGAGAAACAAATTGGTTGTCTAGTTTACATGAATAACTGAACAAATAATACTGTTTAGTACAAAACCATCTACGAAAAAATATAGTTATTACATCAACTACTCTAGAACAGAATACAACAATTGCCTGAATAAAAGGTTATTGAACTTGATCTTCACTCCCATACACCATAGAAAACATGGAAGCACTGGATGGCCATTTCGTCCTATTGTGGAACTCCTCCATGATCCCGCCTCGCGAGATTTGAACCTAGGACCTATGAGTCTCGCGCGCGAGCGCCTAACAACTCGATCACATTTTGACCTTGTCAATTATTGGATTATTAACCTTGACCGTTTTTGTACGAGCGTATGCGTTTTAATAGCTTACCCTTATATGTCTGTAACTTATTTTAGTCTCATTATAACTATTGAGTCATACTTTATTTTAAAAAAGTTGGCTTACATTCCTTCTTAGCATCATTTCATTTTCTATATTTCATACGATATTCTCCGCTCCGCTTCTCGTCACTTTCTCCTTGTTCGTTCCTCTGATTGTATTTTGTATTTTTTGAATCAATGAGTGTACGAAATAAACGTATTCGAAATTCATTCTCGTATTTGACTTATTTCATTCCGTTATTTACTAACATGATTTAAGTCATTAATTATATACGACGGTAGCTAGGATGTATATTTCGACAACATTGTTATACACTCATCCAAATCAGAGTCATTATCTAAGGGCCTACTGTAGAATTTATAACATGCGTTTCATTCCATTTGAAACTCTTAAGTCAGGTATACATGTATTCTAGTGTTGATATTTATCCATTAACTTACTAAGTCTAGATAACCACAAACTTGTTTAGTAGATATGAAACTTAATTATTTGTAAGGATATGTACTTTCTTATACACCATGCACTTACACTAGAAAAAAGACCAATCAGCTGAATTCTTATTAACTATAAGGTAAAAAAAGAAAACCATTACAGCATATTTCCCAAACCCTTTCGCTTATATGACAAAGAATATATTGTCATAACATTGTCATGTGCTATAGATCTTGATAATATAAAATGTCTGACAGTTAGATCAGTAGACAAATCAAACTTAACTTACAGTAGATTGTTGACATGAAGAAATGTAGAAAAATTAAACATTAAAGTATGTGAATAAATGAACATATTTTCAGTGTGAATGTCAGAAATCTATCTAAAACGATGAATCTGAAGGGATCATTTAGTGCAATCTATTGATCAAATGCGTCGAAACAAGGTCAGCATTTCTACAATTGAAGAACATATGGAACTCAAAACAACTGTTAACTAATTACAAAGTGAGAGTCTTCAATATGAACGTCAACACAGTTAGTTCTACTGTACGCAGCTGAAACGTGGAGAACTAATACAATCATCGTCAAGAAGGTACAAGTATTTATAAGCAGTTGTCTACGCAAAATACTCAACATACACTGAACGGATACTATCAACAACAGCGTTTTATGGGAGAAAATAAACCAGCTACCATTTGAAGAGGAAATTAGGAAAGGATGTTGGAAGTAGATAGGACATACAATAAGGAAATCACCAATGTGCATTACAAGGCAAGTACTAACTTGGAATCCGGAAGCGATTTGGAAAAATGGAAGGCCAAAGAATACATTACGTCGTGAAATAGAAGCAGATATGAAAAGAATGAATATAAACTGAAAGAAACTGGAAAGGATTACCCAGGACAGAGTTGGATTGTGAATGCTGGTGAGCGGCCTATGCTCCTCCACGAGGGGTAACAGGCTTAAGTATGTAAGTATTGATCAAATGTATGATTGATTAAATTTTAGTAGCTATACATTTAATTTCTTATCACGTACAATTTATCCATAGCAACAATGTTTCCTAGTTGTTTTTCATTAATTATTTTAAATATTTTATAAAAATAAAAAGGATTAGAAATAATGAGGATTAAACGGTGGTATCTTAGTACATCTTTATCATTCATACTATTGGGAGGGGGAAATAAAAAGAAAAAAAACAATGACTGATCATTTGGACTGATTAATAATATCAACCATATTTGGACAGTTTTCAAGGTAGGCCTTATTTAAGTTTTGTTGCATTTTATTAGGATAAAAATGACATCACATTTCATTGTATCAAATAAATTCAATCGAATTATATTATAATAGTTATAGATTCTGATTGGATACCATTAGCAACAACCTACTGTGGAGGAAAACAAACCAGATTCTAGATCAAGAGGAAATTTTGAAAAAGACAATGGAAGTGGAAGCTAATGTTAACTTTGAATCATGAAGGAAGATGGAAAACAGAAAGACCAAAGAACACACTGCGTTGAGAATTGGAAGAAAATATGTAATAGATAAATAGCAACTGGATCATCATTTCATCAATTGTCATTAAAATGATTGTAGCAGAATCTCATACTGTGTTGTGTACTACTACTGATGTCGATAGATATAAGTAGTATGTATCATCAGTTCAAATGAAATGCCTGGTAGCAGAAGGTTAAGAACAAAAGAAGAGAACGTAAATAAAGAACGATTGGTGTGGAAACAAAAAGACAATGAAGACTGAGACGATTGATTGACATTTCGCAAATGAATTATTTACTGTATGATTCTTAGACATTCCATAATTTTGTGTCGAAGTACATTTGGTTGTTTCCACTTGTGTTCCGGTTCACTACATTCGTATGAAAATCATCAACAACTAAGTTTAGAACTTGGTGAACATATATATTAACATCTTGATCCTTGCTAATGTTTACACTTTAACATAAATCCGTTAACTATGGTTGTAAATGTCAACAGGTTATCTGCTAAGCATCTAAATTCCTTACTAGGTATTCTTCTAACTAAATATAAATTATAAATTCAAAAAATAATAGTAAACTTTCATTTTGTTATCGATAAAGCCAGGATATACGTCAATTAAATATAATCTAATTTAATATAGATGTTAAACAAAAATTAATTGAATACCTAGTGATTGATTTGCATAAATTAGTCACCATGTCTACTAGGTATATCAATCAATTAACAAAATAAACATTGAATAGTTACAAAAAAAAGGGAAGCCATAAGGAAAACCGAATTCACTGCATACAATAAGAAGAGAATTTATCATTTTGAAATAATAAAAAAACTAGGATTATAGGAAAGAAAATCTAATTATATAATAGGGGTTTTAATGTTAGAGCACAACTGAAAAACCCAATAGCATTGAACAGCTGTTTGATGTTAGTATGGGTATCCTAGGCAGTGCGCATTCACGATCCCACATATGGGAATCGAACCCAAGACTTTTCGGTCTTGTGAAAACGTTGTCAAGGTGTCCCATACTAAGACAAAACGACCATCCAGTGTTTCTAGGTTTTTGATGTTGGTCTAAAATTGATCGATTTATGATATCAACAATATTTATTTGAATCAATACTATATGCCTGATTACAGTAAAGAATTCTTCGAGTAAATTATTAAGTATAGACGAAATGCTTACATTTTACAGGAACTTAATTTATGCACATTCGATAAAACTATGCTTAATAAGTATTTAAACGGAATTAAGTTCCCATTCACCTTGGTCAACAAATATATAAGACCAGTTTCCTTTCCATGACTTCTTTTTTCATGAACAAATGATTTTATGTTTAGATTCTACAATAACTCAGCTCTCTCTATCACTTGCTTCTCTATAGAACAGACATGTGAAAAGTATAATGTTATATCTCGAACTTAGATTCTTATTATGTCGCGCATTATTTGAGCACTCGAAAGCTAGATCCCTCCCAAGTCGCAAATGAAATGACAGAAGACAAATGAAAGAAATGTTATTTCAAACAGTGACAAATATGATACAAAAATCTCATGTATTTATAGTTTTTTTTGGATAAAAGTAAATCATCATTTCGTACAACCAATAGACACATAGGGTGGCCCTTCTTATTCATTCAATAAAGGAGCTATACGTCAACATTCTAAAATGTTCCTCTAGCGGTGATTCGATTGAATTTCATTGACTCTTTCTGGACTTCTTAAGTTTGCCAATAAGCTATCCTTACATATAAAAACCACAATGATTGTTATTACTTCAATTACTGACAAATTAGATTCATTTTTTAAATTAAAAAACTTCCATGAAAACAGACAACTATATACGTTTGAAAAGACATAATTGATTCATCAAATTAAAGAAATAGTATGGTAATTAATACATGATTAGAAAAAAGTATAATACTGTATATAAAACCTATCATGTTACAACATTGAAGAGATAAAGTTTTTTTGAGGGGGTGATACAAAGAGAGTAATATAGTGATTAGTTTGTTTCTCAGATAAGCGTAAACGTTTTTTTCCCCAAGAAATTCTTCAAGTAATCTCTTAATGATCTACTTTGAAATCCCCGATAATAACAATTGAATAAAATCATTATCACAAGGGTTTTTTGTGTGGAGATTTAGTAATTTTATAGTCAAGATCATGAGTCAATTGAAGCTAGACCACCATGGAAAACCTGGAAGCACTGGACGGCCGTTTCGTCCTATTATGGGACTCCTCAGCAGTGCTCATCCACGAACCCGCTTTCGCGAGATTCGAACCCAGGACCTACCGGTCTCGAGCCAGAGCCAATTTTAATTGTATTATATTGATTGTGAGTAGATTTCGTTTATTGATTTTCAGTATTTTTTTATTTTTATCTTTATCAATTCATTGAATGTAAAATTAATTTTAATGGTTGGATTAATGAGTTGATGTAAGCTAGACCGTCATTGAAAACCTGAAAGCACTGAATAAACGTTTAGTCTTAGGATGAGACTCCTCAGTAGTGATCATCCACGATTCTTCAGATATAACTTGAAACCAAAACCCTCGGTCTCGTGACCAAACGCTTAGCCTATAGACCACTTAGTTAGTATTTAAAGGTGTTAGTGTCTAGTTTCAATGAATTCATGAATGGCTGCGCAACCATTCATTCATTCGTTGTGGTAGATAACTGTCTCTACTCAACTTGGATTAAACTATACTGTTCACGGCTTCTTACCAGAACTTCACGAAATCATCTTGGAGCGAAACATTGGTTAGCGCATTATGAAAATAATTAGAACAGGCTTTGTGGAGATTGTAGTAATTTTAATATTCGAATTCAAGAATGACTCCAGTATGATTTCGTGAAGTTCTGGTGAGATGCAAAGACCCATGGAATCCAATTTGTGTCGTGTAGACACAGTTATCCATTTCGGACAATGGATGAATGGTTTCGCAGTCATTTATGAATCCATTGGAGTTAGACATTAACACCGTTTGATGCCGACTCAATGATTCAGAGTCTAGGCATTCGCGTGTGAGATCGAAGTTCTTAGGTTTGAATCTCGAATGCGAGATCGTTGATGTGCACTGCTGAGGTGTTGCGTACCAGAATGAAACGGCCATTCATTGCTTCCAGGTTTTCAATGATGATCTAGCTTACATCTACTCATGAATTCAACTGATAAAATTTTTATGTCAACATTATTATGTTCAAGTTATTCAATTCATGATATGCTTTCTATATAATGATAAGAATAAATTCATTTCCATAGACTGAAAAAAGAGACATTACTATTTGCTTACTAGACTTCGATTAGTCCGATAAGTTTTAAGGAAAAACTTAAACGTTATAATTAAATTAATATAAAGCTAAACTTATTCGTGTATTATTTGTAATCAATAGTTGAATACTCAAAAGACAAAACAGATATATGTTTTTAATTGAATGATAACTGTGTAATGGCTAACGTTATGTTTGTGTAAAGGAAACTTAATATATCAGGTAACACTATGACTACTTATTTAAGTGACTTGAAATTATATACAACCATTTGGAGTTGTTAGGTGTT